TTTTACCAGCCGACAAAGGAAGAACAACGGTAGTCATGGACAGAGAAGAATACACCAAGAAAGCTGGAGAACTACCCAAAGATGAAGATGTATATCAACAACTCCCACACAAACATTGGACAACCGCATCCAAAGGACCTTAAACAAGCTCAGCAAAACTGGACAGATCACAAAACAAGACCAATGGCGAATGAAATCCAATGGACCAGTACTACCTCGATTCTACGGCAGACCCAAAATACACAATGCAAATATCCCGTTACGACCAATTGTATCACTCCCAGGAACTCCAACATATAATTTGTCCAAAGAATTATACAGAAAACTAAAACACCTAACGGAATCTCGTGATCACTCCATCAACTCTGCTATCCAATTCCTAGAGAAAATCAGAGGCATCCAAATAGATGAACAAGAAATAATGGTATCCTTCGACGTGACAGCATTATATACCTCTATCGGACAAAAACTAGCAAAAGAAACCATGGAGCAATTACTTACCAACGACGAACACCCCCTCGCACAACAATCAAAAATGCAACACACAAGCTGTATGGAATGCATAAATCTATGCCTAACGATATACTTCCGATTCAACGGCCAAATATATGAACAAGTCAAAGGAACACCCATGGGATGGATCGCCAATATCAGGTTTGATTGCAGAAGCAGTGATGCAAAGACTCGAAAACATAATTCTACCAAAGATCAAACCCAAGATTTGGATACGCTACGTCGACGACACATTTGTAATAACCAAAACAAACGAATTAGATAAAACTCACAACTTAATAAACAACGTCTTCAACGACATCAAATTCACAAGGGAAGAGGAATCCGAGAACAAAATACCATTTTTGGACGTCTTAGTCAGGCGAACAACTACAGGAGAATTAGAAACTCAAGTTTATGGGAAATCAACTCACACAAACCAAATACTGAATTACAACAGCAACAACCCAATAACACACAAAAGGAATTGCATACAAACACTATTCAAGAGAGCAAGGACTCACTGCAGCACTCCCACCTTAAGGAAAATTGAAGAAAAGTATCTCATGGACGTCTTCCAAAAGAATGGATATCCACGGAATTTTATCAAGAGACATATACCCCCAAACCAACCTACCAAAGCAAAAGCCACCAAGGAAAGCACAAAGGAAATCGCCTTACCATATATAAAGGATATCTCAGAAATCACTACAAGACTCTTCAAACCTTTAGGAATTGACGTCGTACACAAACCAACAAAGTCGCTGCACTCAATTCTATATCAACCAAAAGACTCAACAGCGAAAGAAGATAAAACCAACATCATCTACAAAATAAACTGTAACAACTGCGAAAGACACTACATTGGCCAAAGTGGACTTCCCCTTCGTCTTCGTATCCATGAACATAAGCTAGCCCTCAAAAGACATGATATCCACTCCCTCATTTCACTACACACAGACAACCACGGACATCAATTCGACTGGGACAACGTTCAAATATTAGGCAGAGGAAATAACAAGAATGCTAGAGAATTTTTAGAAGCTTGGCATTCCAGTGAATCATCAATCAATACACACATCGAGATAGACAAAATTTATCAACCAATAAGAAAAAACTTCACACACAAAGGGTCAAAGTTCAAGTCGAAGAAGCAATTAGTTCCAATACGAGTAACCTAGAAAGTTTGAACACACACATAAACAACCAATCACGTCCAAGGTCACCAGGAGGGCTGATTAATAAACTCGTGTAGAAATCTAAAAGCTCACTTCAAATTGAAGTATGCGCTGAAGATGTCACCCAGTAGGGTGATGAAAGCATCGCAAACTAACCATCCAGGTCAGAGAACAAAACCACATCGGAATGATCAGATATATTGTTAGTGAATCTAAATGTAACCGGGCTGATTCGCAATAGAGGTTCGAACCTATTTTGCCTGTATTTAGTTCCATTTTTTTTCGATTACAGCTTGATTTCACACCGTATTTTTGGTACATGTATGGATTTTTCAGCGTGGATATCGGTAGCCCAAATTTTGCAGGCCTACCGTAGATATCAAATGTGCGTCTGCGTGGGCTCGAACCCCGGACCATGTGCGTGGTCGGCGAGTCCTAACTACTGTGCCACTGACGCACACAATGGAACTGAAAGAAACCTGAAAGCAACGAGAAACCGATGATTGGTAAGTGTTACCTATGTTTAATAATGCCCAATGTACTAGATCCAAATACATGAACTAAGGCCGCCTGTAGGAAAGCCAGTTTTAACAGCCATTAGTGTGTTGCAAATCCACTTCAAAAGCGGATAACATAGTGATCTGGTGAGTGTACGAACTATCCCAGTTAAAGGTAAGACTTTAAATAGCAAGAATAACGTTTCGGTTGTGGTCTACAATCGGTGGTTACAACAAGCTGAGATTATTATTCAGGGTGGAAATATTCGCTGAATACAGTTTGCTTGTTTCATTTCAAATAATGAAATCCCTATTTTTTTGGATGTTTGGGATTTCTCCGTGGCTATAAATACGGATGCCCATGATCTTTATGAAAACTAAATAAATTTTCCTAAAACCATTGGTTTTCTTTTTCCTGGCGAAACATCTGTAAATACGATTGTAAGATTAGGTAGCAAAGTAGGGTATTCTGTGATTGAGAATCGTAGTCGTCGTGTTTCGGAATAATATCGCGCTTGTAACTGTTATAACCCTATGGATATAGGTTTTCCCTCATGGTACTATATGATATCTAGAAGTCATAAGCACATTGTCTTCGGTAAATTTATTCTTATTTTTTAAGTGACTGCAAGTAGTGAGTCATTTGAGGTGATAGGATGAATACCTCTAAACTCTTTCTTGAAGATTAGGATATATTCATTTTTTCGGCTAGGAGACGATCCTTTGGCGAAGTTTAAGAATAGGGTCCCAAAACCTTCAACGCTCAAATGACCTTGAACGCATGCTAGTCGTTGGCTAACGGTTCCTGTCATTATCATAGCTGAAATATCAACCCTATTCATCAAATAAGGAGCAAGTTTCACCCAGATAACACTTTTATTACTGTGTGGACAATGTGTTAACATCTCGTTAGGGTTAGGATAGGGGTTAAGGCGAGTATTGTGGTTAGGGTTAGGTTTAGTGTTAGGGTTTAGGGTTAGGGTTAGAATTAGGGTTAGGGTTTAGGATTATGGTTTAGGGTTATGGTTTAGGGGTTAGGGTTAGGGTTAGGGTAGCGAATAGGAATAGATTTTTCGTTTATTTCAAGTTCGTTTGTAATCCTTATTTCCCTTGTATGTAGTCGCCAATGATCTTACTGGAACCATAGTAACTAAACCGAGGGCTGAGGAGAGGACTACACAGCAAGAGAAGAGAGATGAACCATTCCCAAAACAGCACACCTTCAGTCTCTTTGGTGATTACATCTACAGAAACTAGTCCAAATTAGCAACCGATACTCTTCATCGCAACTGGAACGTATTTTTAAGTCACATAAGAGAAATATAATCCGTTTAATGTTTTTTTTCATGCATTTTTTGTAAATATACGTTAAATTTTATGCAAAATTCCTCCTATTTTCTGATTGGTCGGCTCAAGGTCATTGTGCGTTCGCATCTCTTGGGACTCCATTCTTAAACTTTGCCGATCCTTTTACCAAGAAGGTTCTCAGGATGTCCGCTTTTACTTTGAAATTCAAAGATAAAGTTAAGTTGCTCACAAAGGTAGTAGCTATGGGAGATTACCTTCAGCGGAAACCACTTTAAGATAACTATGTAGCTTTAGGTAATATGTCATAGAAGTAAGCAGCGTAGGTTAATTGTGTCCAAATATATTAAACGTTGTATAACTGGTCAAATTGTAGTTCTTACATACTAGTTCGTCTGATAAATAACGAATGTACGGTGCAAGCGTTTACTTTGAATTGCATACCTAGCTCATGAACATTATACCTGCATGTGGTATACATTTAAGGATGATACGCTGTGTGATGAGTTCTGCGAAACACGGTTGCATCATGATTGAAGCAAGAAAAACAGGCCAATTATAGGTTAGATGCACGAACTGACAAACTGTAAGAGGAGGGGATGAGTTAAGATTGAATGCCTTAACTTCTTGATGTGAACAGTCAGACGAAATATTATTTTAGAAATCGCTAAGACATGGGAAGACCAGGATTGGTCAGAAGAAAGAATTAATCCAAGATACCTAACGTCAGACTTGATTTCTATATCACTATCATCAATTATACAACAGTCGTGGGAATGAACAGCTTCATTTAACTTTCTTTTACATCTAAAACTGAAATTAACTACCTGACATTTGGAAGGATTTAGTTTAAGACCGTTCGACGAAGACCATTTGCTAATTCCTGATAGAAAGCTGTTCATTTTAGTACTGTCTAGCTGAGAGTTGACAGACATTGAAATAGTTAGATCATCAGCATACTCAACAAAGTAGATATTCAAATACTGCAGTTGTTGATCATATTAGATGACATCACATGATTCAACAGCATATCGGAAATAAATCAAAATTGTTTCTTAGCTCGTCGCCAAGTAGACAGTCTATTCGATGATTCCACTGCGTATTAACTGATTAATGAAGTAGCTATCAACCCTAATTTACTTGTACTACATACTTGGCGTTTAGCAGTATACAGACTTGCAATTGGCTTAATAAGGTGACTTTAGCGTAACGAACATTACAAAATTATTATTCAACTTGCTAAATACTAGTTAGTTTTTACAATGTACCATTGTATAGAAACACGCGAAATCCTATGGATGATTAAAGTAACAGTCGCATAATACTATAGTAAATCTCCATTCCACTAAGCTTAACATGCATTGGTCAGAATTCACATATTACGAAAGCTCATAGTATAGCGACGCACTGAAGACGTTCAGAAGAAGTAGAAATGAAGAGTATATTAGACATTTTCTTAGTTTACAGGAGAAAATTTCTATGAAGGGTGTTAGCGTTAGTTTGACAGACTGACATTTCCACTGATTTCACATTCCACAACCTCCATACACCTAAAATATGAAGCACAACACGAATTTATGAAAGATAATTTTATATATTAGTATACACTGATTATATTAATACTAAGTAAAGTTCTCATACAATTAAAAGTATTTGTAGTCCACAGGTGGTCTTTATATTGACGCCGTATGCATAAATAGACCTCATAAGTTGTCCAGCATTAGAGGATTACACGCAAATTTCAAGATAAACTCTGAAACACCCATACTGTTGAGACATTCTCTCATCAATTTCACACTAAATACGTCTACGTTAAATGAGGTATTGCATATGTACAGCTTAGAAATTGATCCACAATCTCAGTAATGTCTAGTGAGCATAGTTTCATGAATCCTACAGGAATTACATTCTCATATTTAGGAGTCGGTAGTCATTGAATATAAGCTGAACATGCCTCAACTCTAAGCAACTATGCACAGTGTTAACAGCATAGAAAAACACTTAAAATATTGTAAGATACACAGACCTGTTGTGTTGATTAGGATAACAATAAAATATAATGCAAACTAGACATTCAATCGTGATACTGCATCTGTACTGTTTCAGGTAAATGGAAATTTCAGAAGCAATTCATTTCCACTATTGGTGATCAAAAACATTGCAGTATTAAATTTACAGTGTCAGACATTAGTTTAATAATAATAGAGCTAACTAGATTCAATTCTCGTAATCAACACAAACCATATGTATATTACTGCTATACACTGGATAATTGCACCAAGTGAAACACTGAGGTAAATTAAACGAGTTATTGCCTTCTCAAATGCGCTGCACTGGCAACAATAACGAGAAACACCTAGCAGTCAACTAAGCAAAAAATGGCACAATATTAATAGAGGTTTCTTGTATACATTGAATTCACATAACCCATATTATACTGCGCCAATCAGTGTACATACATATTAAATCCACTTAGAGGAAACCTTTCAACTTACCATAATTCCCGTTCAAACACACATACAGTGAAGGACACATCTACTTGATAACTTCTGTACCCACAAGAGGTTCTGTCAGCATTCATAGGTGATTTCATGTACTGATAGCATTCTTTTGTCAAATAGTACTGTTCTTCACACGAAAATAGCCACATTTTGACGTGGTCTTCATTGAATGACACTATGTCGAAAGCTGCAGCTTCTACAAGAAGTAAACTATTTGTGTAGATGACATTACCGTCCAACTACCCTATCTTCTTCATTATAGCGATGTTTTGACTCGTTCCGCATGAAACACTAATCATTACAACCAAAAAAATAGATTGATGCAGATTTTGATTGGCTGTTTTCTAACTGACTTCCTATTGGTCTAAAATATATGTTTAAGCGGTAATCTTTTTGTTTTGACACGGAAATTTACAGTCAGTGTGATTTTGGGCTTACCTTACCATAATATATTGGCGTGTTGATTTCCTTGGTGTGAGTGTAGTGTGATAGTCACACGCTATTTGGATGCATTGTTGGTGTTTAAAGTACATTGGGATGTATGAGAATGTCTAGTAAGTGAATATAAATCAACAGTAATTTTGATGCACTTATTTTACGTCCAAAATAGGATGCATGCATTTTTGCTTACTGGGCGAACATAATTCAACTACAATTTCTAAACATTTATTGTGTCCTTAATTAGTACGTATAGATATATGTATGTATTAACTAATCTACATTTTTAAGTTGTCAGTTCGTTGACCTGTGGGATTTGTGCATACTAGGTCAGCATAAATCAAGTAAATTTCCCTTCAAATGGCTGAGAGTGACAGTTTAAGGCATACTTTGGTTGATTGTTTCGTAATGAGAGCGATTTGGATTCAGTTTTAAATTACACCGATCTGTGTCTTATTTACTACGTTTTTCAGCCGAGCATTTCTGGTTCATAGCATGTCCTGAATAACGGTGATTAATACGATTTATCACTTAGACCGCAGCACCATCAAGCTTACAACAATTCTAAACTTATTCTAACCTATTCCTCGATAATGCCTTTTTATGGTAACTGAAGATCTTATTTACCCACTATGTTCTGAAATGACACTGGTCGTGCTTAAAAAGAGAGCAGCGTGCCGAATTAAAACTTTTCGCTCTGAAGTAACGCTAGTCCATTCTTAATATGTCCTGTGAGGGCTGGAGCAGCACTGATAAGCAAACCCAGTTGGTTCGGTTTAGTGCCACTCATGCTGAAAAACCAGCGCACAGTTTCACTGTCAAACAATGCAAAAACAGTTAGAGACTTTACTTATAAAAAATGTTACTATATTAGCATAGTATGCGTTAATTGGCTCAATGATTGCAGGTTTACCATAATCCTTGACTACCAACATAATAACTGAGAATTTCAGGCTAAAAATAAGCTTATTAGTAGCATCCAGTGACAAAAACTGACCTACACACTGCAAAATGAGTAAAACATTCAATGGAAAATGAATTCACGAAAACATAACCAGCGGACGCAGGAACCCGTCATGACCCAGAAACTGACTGCAGTCTCTTTCTACAACCAATATGCTTAGAGTGTGTCGCAGTTGGATTACATGACGCAGACACCAACATAACTAGCCAGGAAATAAGAATTCCAATCAATCAATCCAGAAAACCTATAACACAATTTTACTGAAAATTATTGACAAAAGAAATTTACTGATCGAAATTTCAACCAACATGCCGGCTTAGTCCAGCCAAAAAAGTTCACTTGAGGTCAAGTACATCAGCGAGCCACTCACAGTAAACACGGACTTTTTCAGTTCAAAAATGCGACAACTGTAAGTTTCAGTAAATAAAGTGCAACTTTTATCTTGTTTGAATACTGCCCCACCACTTTCAGTTGTTCATGGCGTAGGTAGATACTATCAAATTTCTGAAAAGTGACAATAATTCATTGAAATATACATACATGTATATATCAATCACATGTTACGGTTGTCTTGGAGTAATTCCTGCAGCTAACTAAGTGTGCAAGGAATTCACAGCTTGCACTACACGCACATTTCTCCTTCTCGAGATAATCAAGTTTATTCATTTCACTCGACTAGTTAAACCATCGTATGTCTGTCTTTGTGAGAGATACTGTGTCAAGGAAAACGGAATCTTATCTAGTCTCTAATGAACCATATTGATGGAATGTCTAAACTAGATCTCAAAAGCCGCTCAGGTTTTTAGGAGCGTACTTCATACCTGTGTGCACGTGTCTATATGATGACTAGTGAGAGAAAAACTACAACACTGTTGATAAACTTCAACAAGATACCTTGATGTACATTAAAGAAGGGTGAAATGAACACTAAGTACTCCAAATGCCACGTGTCAGTCAAATGATAAACAAACCGTAAACTCACAGAAGTCTTGGAGGTGAAGAGAGGAAGAAGTAAGACAAGGCTGCCTGCTATCATCAACGGCAGACTGTGCTTGAGGAGTGAGAAGACAGGAATACGTTGGACCAATAAGAAGACTCTAGAAGATATGGACTACGAGAACGACTTATGTCTATTACAATATCACACAGACTCGAAGACTGACGGGTAAAATCCACCGAGTTAGAAGGAAAGGACGTCAGCAGGGACTGGAACTCAAGCGAACATGGAGATGATGAAGACGCTCGACAATCAACAACAACACCAACAACAAGCAGTCATCACTATCAACGCAGGAAATGAGAACGGGACTACTTCCTCCTTTATCTAGTCCCCGTCGTTTCCACTACAGACATACACCACAAATGGGGAAGTCAAAACCAGAATCGAAAAGACGAGACAGACCTCCATCACTCTAAAATCAGTTTGAAAATTTTCTACACTCCACAGCATACACAACAGCAATCGGGATTTTAACGCCAATATTAGGTCAGTCAGTCCTTCTATATCAGTCAAACACTCGGTGTGTGCATCACGAAGAGCACTTCCACCAGCCGGCTGCAGACATCTATCAATAAGTGTCTTCGCCAGCTCCTCACGCAAGATCACATGGCCAGTGTGAAGCATAAGCGAGAAAAATTTCTTGGAATGAACCAACCAAGAACCTATTGCCCAACCAGCGAATACTCCAAAGGATATGGGTCGAACACACACTGAGTAGACCATCGAATGAAATCGCACGCCGCACCATGGTTGTTGTGGAATTCGACGGATGGGAAACGACGAGCTGCGCTTACGTCTGATGGTCACATGGAGGAGATCGTGTGGACAGGAGATGTGACACTATGGGGAATCGTGATTCCGGCTGGTGAGAACTGAGTAGAAGAGGATGGAATGCAGATGTTCTATTGGAGCCCTCTAGTTTCTACTTGGAAGCCAAAGGAATAATGGTATAAAAGTAATTTATTCCTATTTAGCTTCATCGCAAATTGTTTCCATGCAGTTTTCCACTCTATTATTAGTAGCAACTTAATGTGTGTGATGAACAAAGTTCACTTTAAGAAGTGGACTGGTGTAAAACAGAAATCCACAGTCTCTCAGTGACCGTTCAAAGGAGCTTCCGTTCCACTCGTCGACTGTATCTATCTATTTATCATAAACCAGGTTTTCGCTTAAGTTTCAATGAAAAACCATTACATCTAAAGTGATTTCAGCTAGTTTTACCAACAACTGGTAGTAGTAGTATTAGTGTAAAAACAGAACACAAGTGCCAGGCAACAGATCCTTTATTATGGAAATCAACACATTTATAGATTTTCATGTACATTATGATAGATTATTGTTAGTAGAAAAACACAGTCTTCTGATTGGTTGCTTCTCACAGAAAGCTAACCTTGCATCTCTTTGTGAATCTCAGATCATCTATATGTTAACTGTACCCGCCTACGGAAAGCCTTTGTTCACATTTTTCTCACTACCAATATCGGGAACATACACATTGACGTAAATCAGTGTCGACCAATTTTGACTAACACCCAGCTCTCACCACAGTAGTAGTAAAAGTAGTGTGGTGTGTGCTACTGACAAGCCTTATCGGTAGTAGATTAAGAAACGTCCATCTGCACAAAAATATCAAATAGCCGAGAGACAGACTTGACATCAAAAAGAGAGGAAATGAACCAGTACGGAGTCAGTGCATGGAAGACTCGAACAGAAGACCGAAAACGACACAAAAGGGGAAGAAATGGCACAACACTGAACACCAAATGACGATTTTCACATAACCTGGTGTGCATAATCCCCCCATATGTGTACATAAATTTCCTAAAAAACACACCATTACCAAGTATCTCGCCTTCTACCGTTACATTTGGTTTCGCTTCCTACTCCTTTCCAAGAACCAGCTATAAGGAGCTTCTTGTGGCACTTCGGTGCTGCCACCGAATTGATAGTCATCACGATCTGACTGTTGGCGGAATCCGACGGACAGACAGCTGGCAATGCAGCACTTGCGTGACGCGAAGCTGGGACTCAACTGAGACCAATTCGTCTTGGCAGTGGATTTGGGGAGTCTCAGTTATTGACTTACAAATTCACCGAGAGTGTTCCGAACTAATAATGATAACATAGATAAGAAAGAATATAAGGAATCTATAGTTGTACCATGTTAGAAGGAGACATCTGACAGCCTATGTAGGATTCCTAAGAAAGCGGGGATTAGGGTGGCATTTAATTCCACAAACTCACTCAGATACTGGAAGCTCTGCAGGTTGAAGGACTCTGTAAGTTGATCTGACTACACAAAATAATTTAATTTGCAAAGCACCTTGGAATAACTGTGGAAAGGGCATTTAAACAGATTGGCGCTACAAACATCTAGAGACTTGGTAAATACCAGGTATGCATTCTGAATCTATCCTGAGATTTCCTAGGTGATCACTTCAGTTGAGCTGATGCAAGTCCCCAAATTAAGTGAAATATTCAACATACTTAATTATTCCACCTCCTAGCAAAAGAATCACAACAAGTGCTGCATAAAATTGCGCATTTAGCAGCATAACAATCAAAAATCAACACTTGAGTATGACACAAATATATTGAAAAATGCTGAATGCATGAGGTACAACAAAGATGTTTGTATTCGCGACCAGCATACACAAAATGTCAGCGCCGCCTTTTGCGTGAAGAACTGCCAACACCTGCATCGGTAGTGACTGCTGAAGTGGTCGGTGTTTGAACCAAATCATATGAAGTTACAAGAATGTCAGCCCAGCGTACCGACTTTCTTGTTCGTTTTTGATTAGAAGTATCTACATAGAAAAATCACAGATGAAGTATGACTTCACACGAAAATAATTTGCATACATCAACAGAGTATAGAAAATGCCTCAAATTACAACGAGTTTTCGTCTCATGGGTATATCTAGTAAAAATAGACAACCGATTGTGAGGTAAAGCTAAGTTGTCAGACTGAAGTCTTCTGCGGCACCTTGCACACTATTGGAATTGGCGACCTTTTCGCCTAAATCTGCATCGTAAGTTTGTGGCTTCAATGAGACAACATTTCATGCTGCTATGACCTCAAGATCCATCCAATTGTGATTCTCCTCAAAACATCCAACTACACAAATTAGTGGGTCATCCTTTTAGTTGCAATTCACACCAACTTAGGCTTAAATAAGCACACACACACACTTGGAATGCACCTCACGACCTCATTTCTCGGATTTAGTATCAATTACATAGGAAAGGCGACAGTGACCAATTTACAAGGAAATGCAAAACCATCACAGTATTCATAAGAAGTGCCTCTCCCTAGTATTCATGATCAGTCCCTTAACTGATTTCATAGAGAGATCAAAATGCTGTTGTGCCTTCTGCGAAGTCTTGCATATATTCCAATCATAACTGCTAATCATACCAAGGTAATCACACGACTTCCTAACTTCATTTACATAGTTCCATTATTTTTCACTTGATTTGATTGGTAGTAGTACTTCCATATTTCGGGTATGAGTGGTGAATCATTCCTATTGCATGTGTTGGGTGTAGACTCGATGAACTAGTCAGGATTCAGTAATCAACCTCTCTCTCCACCTACCTAGATTACTTTTCAGAATTTTAACCCTAACCCTCCCACCATGCTACTGTGTGGTTGTGTGTTAATGCATGCATTGCAATTGCTGAGCCTTTTTCTAAATTACTTGTCTTCTCGGGGTCAACCATTCTTACCTTAGCTAAATTCTTATGTTCTGACAATCTGACTACCCATGACCTACTAGTTGGACCTATGTAGTTGACCTCACAGTCATTTCAGGGTATTTTGTAAATTGTTATTTTCTCTAATTGGGTCAACCGACAGGGTCCTTTCACCCACAGAGCTTGCCCCTGAGTGGTTTGTAGGTTTAAATGCCACCCTAATTCCTGTTTTAATTAGAATCCTACATAGGGTCTCAGGTGTCCCCTCTTTATATGGTATAACTGTAGATGACTTATGTTCTCTCTTATTTGTGTTATTATTACTAGCTTCACAATCATTTTTTTTGTTTTTGGCCTTTAATGATCTTCCTAATGAATTTTAAAGGATAGTTATTCAACACCAACGCTTCTTCTATCTGTTTTAATTCATCATTTAGGTCTTTTCTTGTGCTACTGCTCGGTTTGTTAAGCACTTAACTAGGCCCGCCTTAACAGTTAACGGATGAGATGAATTAAAGTCTAAATATCTATTAGAATGCGTTGGTTTTCTGTACACACTAGTGTGCAGTTTACCTTCTTCTATTCGTTTTATTTTACAATCTAACATCACAGCTAATTCTCCTTGTTCATTTTCCGATTCAAATGTGAATTTTATTCTTCTCAACTAGTGAGTTTATGTGTGCAAGAAGCTAGAGATATGTTCTGTTTTAACACTGTGAAAGTGTCCTCCACACATCTCCACCATATTTTTGGATTAGAATTAAACGTATTAAGAGCCATATTTTCCCAGCTATCCATAAATATATCTGCTACGATAGGGGATATTGGTGATCCCATTACTACACCTTCAGTTTGTCTATATATTTTGCCTTGGAATTTAAAGATAGTAGATGTGAGGCATAACTGAATTCCTAAAATAATTTCTTCAATGGGCAGCTTCGTCCTATGATTGAGTTCAGGATCTGCAGTTAGTTCTTTTTTAACTGCTTCATAGGCCATATTGATTGGTATGTTAGTATAAAGACTAGTTGTATCAAAACTAACCATTCTTTCATCATTCTCTAGTTGGACGTCGTTTAGTTTATTTTTCATCTCATATGAATTAGCTAGTCTAGAGTTTGAGCGATTTCTAGTGGGGTATAATATTAGAGCTAAGTGTTTTGATAATTCATAAGTGGGGGTATTTCTAAAATCTACTATTGGTCTTATGGGGTAACCTGGCTTATGTATTTTAATAGTACCATATATTTTACTGGTATTATTAGATTTAGGCATAAAATTAAACCATTTTGACTCATCCAGTGACGGCTTCATTCTGCGTATCAGTTCCGCTGTAGATTTTTTTTACCTTATTCATTACTGTATCTACAGGTTTCTTAGTTTCCTCATATGGACCCATCCCAATATATTCAGTGACTTTCCAACACTACTGTGACTGTGAGCAAGCTTCACAGTAGTCCTGGATATATCTGACTATATCAAGAAAATTACTATGTAAATGAAGTTAGGAAGTCGTGTGATTACCTTGATATGATTAGGAGCAATAAATTGTGCTGGAACCCTCATTAGTAAACATTACTGTATAACACTGTGGGACTTCATTGAAGCAAAATTTATGCATAGTGGAATCACGCTCTGCCACAGTTCGCAGGTTTTATTCGTATATCCGATCAAAACTGTCTCCTAGTCTACGAAATTCACCCAAGATAACACATTCTTGAAAATTCACATCTTCCTACGTTATATATATATATATATATAAATATTAGTTTATACTTATATCCCTTGAAGAATAGTTGACGTTTTGTCACATAAATACAAAAATTATAACTGGATTGTAAGTTGTGATAATGGGCTGCTAGCTTACCTTGAACTGAAGATTTGAGTGTAGCTGTATCGCTTCCGTGATTAACTCGTGGAAACTTCAATCCTTTCAAGGAATCGAATTCTTCGGGTAGACTGAATTCTTGCATTTCACCTTGAAAAGAATCGACTTCAGAAGCATGCTTCACAGAAACGTTACAATATTTCAAGAAATAGAAATTACCAGCCCTTCCATATTGTATAGTGTATCCAGCTTTTTCCAAATAGCATCAGGGGTGACTGGTGTACGAAGAACTGAATTCACATAATTCCACAAACATATCATGTGGAAGTGGCGAAATACGCCGACGGGTTTGTGCTTCATTAATCCTCGGAAAAGTTGAATTTCCGATTCCCAGGTCCATTCATATGAATCAGTCTTATCAACAGCCATGTGTATTTAATTCCAGGGCACTGAAAATCCAATAATCAAAATTAAAAGTATTAGAAGTAGGCCAATTACAAGAGGTTTATATAAGAAGTACCACAGAAACATTTCTCTCCTGACTGACCAGCTTATCAGGAAGCACATGAGTGAAACAATGAGACCAGAATCACTAATCGCAATACCCACAGAAACGATGTGTGATTTTATTCAATGAAGCAAGTTCGTAGTCACAGAACTGCAAGATGACTTAATGTCAGTAAAATGAATCAAATAACAAAACTTATCATTGTGTGTAAACCATTGAAATATAATTATAATTTACAAGGCGACTGTTTGGAATATATGTGAAGCAGGACTGTTTTCTGTTGCGAATTCGGAGAAGTCGACGAAATAGAATATCCTACACGCAATCATCGAATGTGTGTATATGTAAGTTCAAATGTTCCTATGGAGCTGACTACCTCAAATAATGTACAATAAGGAGTCTCCAAACCCTGCAAACGTCACCACTCTACATGGTTAAGCACCAAAGTGAAAACAACACTTGGAAGCCCCATACACACCCACCTAGTTATAAAGTGAGCACACAATAGATCCAAATAAATTATGACAAATTTCCACCACATTTTTGACCAAACAGTGCAGTGTCTATTTGTCTGCAGACAGCGGGAGCAAGCTGGAACATACAGTTGAACCTTCACCTTCATATCCAAAACAATGATTTCTTTTCTATTAATAATCAAAAAGTATCACTTTCAAAGAGCAAGATCGTGCATGGATACCCTCAATCATTTAGCTAGAGCCTAGTGACCAGGATTCTTTCACGAGCCGCACGGTGTGCAAGCTGTTCGCACTATAACGGATTCTTGCAATCTACACAACTTATACGCTATGCCTAATAATAAAAACAGCCAATACTGTTATAGTTGCAATATAAAACGTATAACTACGCAAGTAATTACTTGGAAAACTTCGTAAAAAATAAGGGTGACCAACAGGCCGACAACTCACAGCAATGGAAATAAAGATGGTGGGTTCGGCCGCGTCGAAGGATTCCAGTGCAGTAAAAGATTTCTCAGGGAGGGGCCTTTGGTGATGTATTCAGATAGTAAAAGTACATTTAATTGATTGTTTATATTAAAGGAGTTTATTATTTTAAATGATGTATTATTAATCACTAATTAAGACTCATTGTAACGCAGTTATCAAAAGTTAACCGTCATTGGTTGAGGAAGTACATCAGGGTTACTCCCATTGGTTGATTTGTAGCCAATAACCGCTCATCAGGTTGCCCCGAAATGTCTGCTATGCGCCATAAGTTTTCCTCGGAATCTGCAAGTGCCCTAAGTCTGCCCCAAAAAGTCTGCAATTAGCCCAAACTTTTCCCCCAAAAAGTCTGCAATTTGCCCAAAGTCAGCCGAAAAGTCTGCAATGCGCCCGAAAAAAATGCTAGCTGGGTACTCAGTCTCCCAGACTGAAGGGCATTGGCACTCGAGCCCAGAACCTAATGACTGAAAGTAAACTGCTGACGTCAATGAGCTTCATTTTTATCTTTATATGCCCGCAAGCTTTAAGTTTCCTAAAGGTCAGATGGTGTGCCATTCTGACGATCATTGTCACACAGACGTTTTCTGCTCTGAGTGTCAGCGAGACAGCCAACTGTCACACTAATAGTGACACCCACTTACTACCTGCTTCAAATATCTTTAGCGTTTCGAAGTTGGATGCTTGCCGAAATTATGAGCAACCACATACATTTCTGTTTGAAAGTAGGGCAGTACCGGTGCTATTCAAATTTCACTTATTGGAAATTGAATTTTCAATTGTCTTTCTCAATGAATGCATCACCTCTCATCTAGAAAGTCATATATATATGCAGTCTCGACTAAACTGTTATTCCATCCACAGAAAATGAAAAAATTGACTGAAATTATCGACTGAAATTATTTAGCATGCTCAAGGCCTTTGACGGAGTGAGGCGGTCAAAGGTCATTTTCATCTATGTTAGTCGGCCATGTTGGATTGCATTTCCGTAGCCGTTCGTTTACACATCGGCTTTCCTGTTTATCCTGCATTTATTCACAACTCATCTTGATGTGCATTGTTCACAAATGTTGCGTTCCACCTCATTTTTGTTTCCGTTGCTGTTAAAATTACTAATATCGTATGTTTCAGAAGTTATTACCACCAGGTCAGTGCATTCACTTCATTACAATTGTTTCACACGTTGTTTTCATGCCTGGTTTCAAGGTGTTAATTGTTTTTCAGGCGAAGTACAAGAATTGCGTCCTAGGATTGCGAACGGTCAAATGACTTTTAACACATGCTAGTCGTTTACAGATTATTTAGGTATTTTGATACAAAGAAAATATAATCGAGGGGGAAATTGAGTGTGAATCAATAATAGGTATTTGGGGTATATGACACTAGCCCCTAAAAAAGATATATTTAGGCGAACCCTAATTGCATTGCAGGTGTTTTATTGCCTACTGTTCAGCGTTTAGTGCTTCCTGGAACGACTATTCATACAGATGAATGGATTACTTACAGTTAATTATCGAATCTGGGCTATATTGCTTAAGTAGTCAAACATACAATGGTCTTGTCAATCCTTCTGATGGAACTCACAATAATTCCAATGAAACTTTACAAAGCCACCTAAAGAACATATACGATTTGTGAAAAGATCAAGGAACGCAATGATATAGAGTTATCTCGTAGAGTTTACATACAGGAATTGGTTAATAAATGAGTTTCGAGAATTGTCAAAGTAGCTGAAGATTGAACGATCAATTCATGGTTGTTTGCTCAAAATCAACTCCCCAATTTTCGCGGAGGCATCAATCAGCCAGTCATCGTCTCATCGGTCGCTGTTTAGATAGAAGTCATGCCAAAACTGTCGGAAGTAATATTGTGATTTATTATTGTAATATTTGTTCACAGACCTTAGTTGTAACAGTGTTTATATGTTGGTGTTACAATAAAGAATCCTCGAGTAGCCAATCGGTGTTTTGGTTTTGCATCCATTATTGCTAAGCGTTTCTGAGAAACTCCAAGGAACAGCGTGAGCCCGAGTGCAGCAAGAGCTGGGCATTGACGGTTTACGGGACGTGGCTGACAAGAATCCTATGAGAATTTGGGAGGTTTTCTTGCAACATATACAAGAATGTTCTCCTTTGTAACTATTTGTTAAAATGGTATTACATATATATAAACGATTTATTACAATTATGCGCCTTTATTTTTAAGCCTTTAGATTGGTCGAATTTGTCCTTGTCAAGGTCATTCGTCCGCTCATAAGGTAGATTCGGATTGGGCTGCTATTCTTTAGAGTTGCCCAATTTACGAGTCATTCACTGATGATTATTGTTCATTCTGCATCCCTCATGTTTCACTTCAGTACCTGTACTAAAATGCTATTCACCTCCCTCTATTAACGTAACATTTACAATTACCACGTGAAACGGACATGCCGTATTTCTTCTTCACTTAAAATTAAGATAATTTGAAGCTATATCTTATAACTTATTTGATCGAAAATGGGTTTCCAGAATTATCTCTTTATTTATTTCTACATATCTTTTTAGATGTCTTTCTCACATTAAGCATTGTTCAGATTTCAGATTCAGATTTGTTGGTTGAGGACAGAAGGCTTGGAGCCTATGTTAATCCTCTTCTAGTAAATTTCGGTGGTTGTCTAAACCCTTCCTAATCAAATCAGTTGAGGTGGCAGGCACCACGTATTTTGGGTGTCGGTTCCAAGTGTTAATGGCTCAATGTGAGAACCAGTACTCAACAGCAACATGATTTCTTCTCGGCTTTTGAACTCTTCTGCTATGTCCTCTAAGGTGTTCCGACCTGTCTGGAAGGAAGAGGGAGAATAGGTCTGGTCCGTAGTCATTATTTAAAATTTTAAACATTGTGATTAAATGTCCTCTCTGCTTACGGTATGGCAGTGTGTAGAGATTTAAACTGTCTAGTCTTTCCTCGTATGATAAGTCAGCTAAACCATGAACCATACATCTTGCCTTCCTTTGAACACTTTCTAGAATGTGTGAGTCCCCTTTTAGACAAGGTCCGACTGGCTGCCTGGATGCAGTTTTTCAGTCCTGACCTCACCAGATATGTATGTAAGGAGATGAACATATCTCTGGTGATTCTAGTAAAGGCTCTGCTAATTGCCCATCAGGACCTGAAACCACGTGCATCCATCGCACGACAGTGTTCCGTACTTTTTAAGTCGCGGCTAACTATGGCACCTAAGTCCGAGTGAGTCTGAACTGATGGAAGTGTTATTCCCTCTAATTCGTAGGAGCTGGGCCTTGCTTGTCCGATGCACATGGTTGCACATTTCGCCACATTTATCGGGAGCATCCATTCTATGGAACACTCTGACGATTGGTTGAGGTCCTCTTGCAACGTCGACGTATCACTGTTGCACTTCAGCTCTATCCAGATATTTAGGTCATCTGCGCATAGGGCCACAGGGGAGTCGGTGAGCAGAGACAACTCATTGATGTGCATTTTTGCGTGATTCGTTACATAAAATTTATCTTGTTGTAATACTTGCACAAGTACTATACTACTTCCATACCTGTAACCATTAACTCCCATTTCAAATAGTTATGGTTAATCAAAGTAAAAGGCAACGAACACAATCCCCTGTGAATGTGGTGACTAATTTAGCGTCCTTGATTGCTACATCAAGCAACACACCCCCTACAAACGGTTATAGTGAGTCACATAACTCACTTGTATGCCGTAAGCGTCGAGCAGGAAGTGAGAATAAAACTGTACTGACAGCTAGTATTAGCACTACTCCTAAAAATTCAGTACCCCCTTCTCATAAAGAATCCCTCCCTTCACCTCTGGGAATGCACTCTACTGCTAAGGCTCAT